CTCAGCATCAGACAAGTTCTTGTATTTTTCCGAGTGTTTCTTGTCGTAATGCCAACTCAAATTGTAGTCCTTAAACACGGCAATCTCCTCCCCGCAAACCAAACACACGGCTTTACCTCTGACTTCAGTAAAAAAATACTTAGCAGTCCAATTTTTGTTGAAAATCCTGCATTCAACATCTTTCTTTTATTTTTGCATGAGTGGACATTTCTGGGGGCTACAATCATCATGTCAACCGCGGGCACTTGTTGCTATACGTATTGCGTCATTGTGCACGTAAAAAACTACTTCAAAATAAAAGCAATGCAGCCTTAGTCCATGCATGAGGTAAAATTAGGAAATAAATTTATTTTGTAATTTCCAGTTAGCCTTACGCGGGCTGGTCAAAGTCAACCAAAGGGCCATATGTGGCCCGCGGGCCGTAAAATGCCCAGGTTTGAACTAGAGAGATATGGCATAAGAGGGATAGCATACAAATGGATGAAAAGTTACCTGGATGACAGATGTCAATATGCTGAAATTAATCATGTAAAATCTAAGCAGTTGAAAGTTATTTGTGGTGTTCCTCAGGGCTCTGTGTTGGGCTCTAAATTATTCATACTATATATAAATGATATATGTAGTGTTTCCAAACTGTTAAAATATGTATTGTTTGCTGATGATACCACTTTGTACTGCTCAGGTACAAATCTAGAACAGCTTCTGACTACAGTGGAAAGGGAGTTAAATATATTAAAAACTTGTTTGATATAAGTTATCATTAAATATAAAGAAAACTAAATTGATTGTGTTTGGCACTAGACAAATGAAAAATATATCTAAAATCAGGGTTAATGGCATTGAAATTGAAAGAGTGTATGAAAATAAATTTCTTGGAGTGATAATTGATGACAAGTTGAGTTGGAAGTCTCATATAAATCATGTGAAAACAAAAATGTCAAAAACCATTGCTATACTCTACAAAACAAAATATGTCCTGAACAAGAAACAGTTAAACACACTATATTGTAATCTGTTGCTTCCATATATGACTTATTGTCTTGAGATATGGGGTAATGCATATAAAACAAATACTATTCCTATTTTCAAGTTACAAAAAAGAGCTATAAGAATTATAAATCAATCTAACTATATAGAACCAACTAACATTATGTTTATTAATCTGAATACCCTGAAATTTTATGATTTAATTGAATTTAAAATAGCACAGATAATGTATAAAGCACAAAATAACTTGCTTTGCAACAGTACTCAGAAGCTGTTTAAACTCAGAGTCAATATGACTTAAGGGGAACTGAATTTTTTAACAAAAACTGAATAAGGACAAATATAAAGCAGAGATGTGTTTCTGTTAGAAGAGTTAACCTGTGGAATAGTTATTACAGTAACTTAAAAAGGTGTAGTTCATTTTCCTTGTTTTAAAACATGTTTAAAAATAGAGTATTAGGAAAAATCAGCACCTCCAAATCTGAGACCATGGCTCTCGACCGGAAAAGGGTGGCTTGCCAACTCCGGGTCGGGGGAGAGGTCCTACCTCAAGTGGAGGAGTTTAAGTATCTCGGGGTCTTGTTCACGAGTGAGGGTAGGAGGGATCGGGAGATCGACAGGCAGATTGGTTCAGCATCTGCAGTGATGCGGACGCTGAGCCGATCTGTCGTGGTGAAGAGGGAGCTGAGCCAGAAAGCCAGGCTCTCGATTTACCGGTCGATCTAAGTCCCAATCCTCACCTATGGTCATGAGCTTTGGGTAATGACCGAAAGAACGAGATCACGGATACAAGTGGCCGAAATGAGTTTCCTCCGTAGGGTGGCCGGGCTCAGCCCTAGAGATAGGGTGAGGAGCTCGGACATTCGGGAGGGACTCGGAGTAGAACCGCTGCTTCTCCGGATCGAAAGGAGTCAGTTGAGGTGGTTTGGGCATCTGGTCAGGATGCCTCCTGGACGCCTCCCTGGGGAGGTGTTTCGGGCATGTCCTGCTGGCAGGAGGCCCCCGGGTCGACCCAGGACACGTTGGAGAGGTTACATGTCCAATCTGGTCCGGGAACGCCTTGGGGTCCTGCCGGAGGAACTGGTGGAGGAGGGCCGGGGAGAGGACAGTCTGGAGCTCCCTAGTTGGGATGCTGCCCCCGCGACCCGGACCCGGATAATCGGAGGAAGAAGACGACGACGAGTATTAGGAAAAATATAAAATCAAGAATGAAAAGAGCAAAAATAATAATACTGAAACTCTTGAATGTATTGCTTTGATGAAGTTACTTAAGGTGGAATGTTTTTTGTTTTGTTTGTTTTGCTTTGTTTCATTTTCTGCATGCAGCTCCTGTGTACTGGAGCTGCACGCAAAATGATCTTTGTTAGAAGGGTTGGCATAATAAGCAAATGCTTCAGCCAATACCTTTGGATTAGCCTTGTCTTTGTGGTAATTTTTTGTTGTTTTTATTTCTTTAATATTTTGTTTTTCACTGAGATATTTGAATGCTAATCAATCAATAAAGTTAACTAACAAAGGAAGAAAATAACTTTTGTTATACAAATTCATACAAAGTGTATGAATGCATTTTACTAGTTGTTTGGAGGGGTTGGAAACCAGTTAATTCAGTTATGTCTCAGCAAAAATAATAACCTGCTCATAGTAAATGGCCTGTATTTGTATAGCACCGTCTTAGGGTTCTACAACCCCCAAGGCACTTTACAACACAATCAGTCATTCACCCATTCATACACACATTCACACGCTTATAGTGATGAGCCACAGCTGCCCTGGGGTGCACTGACAAAGGCAAGGCCTGCCGAACACTTGCATCACCAGTCCCTCCAACCACCACCAGCAGCACTGTCCCAGCAGGTGGGTTAAGTGTCTTGCCCAAGGATACCACAGCAGCATTCTCTGGTTGGAGCTGGGATCAAACCTGCAATCTTATGAGTGCTGGACAACCCGCTCTACCTCCTGAACTACAGCTGTCCCAATGCTGTTAATGTTAAATTTGATCATAAAGGACCTGAACAATGGTTCACCAGATAGCTGTCAAAGAAGAATCCACATGAATCCAGCTCTCAGAAAGTTCAGACGCTTTTTACTTAAGCTCCCTTATCTGCTTCCCCAAGGCTCTCTCTGTCCTGTCTGCCTACAGAGCACTTCTCTGCATTTCTCCTGAAATCACCACTTCCTTTTGAAAAATGGACTTAATTTACTGGTCATTCAACGCGATTGATAAGATTTTTTCTACGATGAGAACGGAGAAGGGGGCTCCCACCTGTCCCGAGGGGACATTCGCAGCGGGATATGCACTCGATTCTTGGGAGGTCTGGTGAATCGTGTGCCTCTCTCAGTTGTCCATCGAGGACGTGGAAGATTTGTGGATATTCGGCCTGATGATCACTGGATTTATTCTGATTGGAGTGGGAGGATATCTGGTTTTCTGGAAATTTGGGAAGACGGGAGCGATTGGAGTGCGACCCGCACCCACGGAATGTGCCGCCTGGGCGGTGACCTCACAGACTGGTACGTTACTCAAGGTGAACCGTAAGCTGGACAATGTCCTCGCGGCGTTGCCTGTGTTAGTGCGCAAGATGGATGTCATCTCAGAGAGGGTCACCGGACGGTGTGGGGATGTTTAGAACGCATAAATTGGCTTCACTGGTGGACATGAATGACCACTTAACAGACTCCAAGGCAGAGAGGAAAATTATCTCTGTCTGCCCTAAACAAAGTCTTGCTTATCCTTATCTGACGCCAAGCAGCCTCCAAGGCTGCCTTCAACTCACCGCCACGAAAGGAGGAATGCTGACAGATGCTGTGTCCCGACCTTCCCCCCCGCCTTCAGATTGTGACTTCGGCTTCGAGGTCATCGACCTGCAGGAACTCAATGCGCTCTCTGTTCCTCATTTCTCCCTCCCACCTGTTGACTGCAGCTGGTGAAGCACTGTAATGGCAGCTCCCGTTGGAGGATTCAGGATCCCTCCCAACCCCGCCTCCCCATCGGACTCTGATGTTTGTATCTGTGATGTTCGTGCTTCTATGTTGAGGAGTTTTTTTTTTTGTATAATAGAGTTACTCCCCGCTGGGTCTAACTCTGCTATGCCTTTTTTTACCTTACCCCAATTATCCTCATGTAACACCCTTTTCATCTAATGAAATGAGCGCCGTTCTGGCTGCTCTCATGACTGCCTGTACCTGTTTTGTCCACATGTGTGTGTGTTTAACCTTGGTCAGGTTGTGTTCGCGGAGTCAAGTTTCTATGCTCTGGGTCACTGGAGCGCTGGCAATAAAGCTGATTCTGATTCTGATGAAAGTTTCATTTTTCAGATATTTTGATGTTGAAGTTGGTCAATGTGCACTAAAAATCACCCAAAAATTCAACTTGTGTATTTAAAGGGAACACCACACAAGTGAACATGGAAACTAAAATTAATCTCAGATTTTTCTCACATTACCACATTTTGCTGCTTTTAAGATATTTTTGTTATGTAACGATGCAAACTAAAAGAGCGAAGCTTACATTAAACATCTAGTGACGGTTCTCCTCTATCTGCACTATCAGACTTTTACCTTTATTTAATCATCATCTGTGTTTCAAAAAAATTTAGCTGCATTTAATTAAGGCATTTAAAAACCAAACAATACAAATCAATCAGTAAATATTAGGTTACAAGAACATTTAAAATGGTGTTTGAATAAGTGAATATCAATCACATGACTTGGCTGAAAAATTAGGTGGAATAAACTGAGAACCATGAGGATTGCTAATATTAGAACTAAGGCACAATGTCTCTAAGCCTTGGAGGATAATTAGTAAGACAATGTATGTTTTTCCCAACATACAACTGAGCATAAAAATCAATATATTCTTTATAAAACTGCAGAAGAATTGTAACTCTTTAAAATATTGTTTAAACTATTTGTTTTGTGGCATAAATATAAATTAAAATTGGCATCCATAATGGCTAACTAAACAATACAATATGATAAACCAACAATAATCAATAAAGAAGAACTATAGAACGTGCCTTTTTAAAATATTGTTTATTCCCATAAGTCTCATCTGTGAATGTGAATCATCTAGACAACAGAAAAAGTGATCAATACAGACCTTTCTCACCCTTCTGAAAAGGGCCACTAAAGAGTTTTATCACCTCAACACCCCTAACTGCTGCTTTGCTTTTGAGGGAAACATTTCTTCCAGGGACTGCAGGGCAGTGCCAGCAGCAGCAGGAGGATCCCGCCCACGATGAGAATAGTACCAGCACAGCCGATACATGACACCGACCAGGAGAGCTCATGGTGGAGAGGGACTGTGTGATCGCTGGCTAAGAGAGCCAATACGGACTGATGGAAAACCAGCAGGGACAGGAGCACCAGAACACCTGCAGAGGAGACACCGGAAAGCAATTACTCTTACTCCTCATTTACACCGATTACGGAACAGATACCGTCCAGTTTCCATACGTCTTCCACCAAGTCTTGGTGGAAGCCGTACGGAGTCAGGACCGCGTTCGTTCCGTACTTGGTGTAAACAAGGCATTGGAGATTTCACATCAATTGGCTGTGTTTACTGACCTGAAAGAATGAAGCAGATGGATGCTGGCTTGAGAAAGAACAGGATCTCTTTACTGAGAGACATGGTGATGCAGATGGATCCCATTGCCATCAGGAAGAGGCTAAATAGGGCCAACATGGCTGCTGCTACATTAAGGTCTAATCAGAAGCAGAACATATAAAACATAAAAGAATCACAAATCTTTATCAAACTACCTCACCGAGGCCTACAAAGGGAACGGGGGTGTGCCAACCCAGAACAATGTGATTTAACATATGTCTGTCTTTCTTCATCAGCATATGGCATTGAGTAATCTTGATGCATTGTGAAGCTGCCTGAGAAAAAGGAGGTTAGACGGCAGCTCAGAGACACTTGAACGCAGCGTGGGTGGAAATACTGGGAGAGCAGACAATAGCCAGCCTGACAGAGTGAGGCAAGGAGGTGACGAGAGGAAAATAAGCAGCAGAGATTGAGAGCAGGAGCAGCGATTAAAAAAGGGTAAAAAAATAAATAAATAAAGAGAAGGGGGGGGGGGGGGGCAGTGTGTACTGAAAAGGATTTTTAAATAAGGAGGTGTGACTCACTCTTCTCTGTTGTCTTCTGAAACATGACAGCATTTTCCCCCGTGGTGAAAAACTTGAAGTAGGTGCAGTTCGATTCTGCAGGAAGGGAGAAAAGGAGCGGCTGCTGTAATTGAGACAGACGTAAGCGCTGCCAGGTAATCTTGATGAGCATCTCATTGAAATTCAAGGAGCCACATCTTTCTTAATTTTCCCAACATCCCAAACCTTTTACAATTTAGTTTTAATTGTTCTCCATCAAACATAATCAGCCGTGAACGTCAATGATGAGCTCAAGGTGACAATCCCAAGTTCCCTGCGCTATTTGTATTCTGCTGTCCTGACGATGTGTTACAGTGATTAGAGTTTGGCCGTCTAATAGATTGTGACACCTCTATCTGTTCCCTTGCACATTAGCAAATGCGAGCAAGCAAACACGCACACACATCACTTTCAATTAGAGTGATGAAAGCCTCATCCTGGGAGTGTTCAAGTTTGTTTTTCCTTGCTAGAGAAACTAGGGTTACAGAGAGGCAGGGGATCACTAATCCCACAGGAGCAAATTCTAATCCTGTCATAAATTAGATGGTAGGCACTGGCCACTGAGGCAATGATTAGACTTTTCACTGAACAAATTTACCTGCATCAGTTGATAACAGCAATTCTGACTCTAGAACAAGTATTTTTCTGAATCCTGTCACCTTTAAATGAGAAAAGATTTTATTTAAAGTATATTTTCAGTTTGTAGTTTTTCTCTTTCTACAGTTGGATGGATACAAATGGGAATGTAGTTCCCCTAAATGAGCCTTAAAGTGACTATGTGTAGTTTCCTTGTCGATATGGGGCAGTGAATACCTAAATCACTGTGAGCAAACAGTATATTTTGTGTTTGAGTAAGGGCTTACAAACGGATGGCCATTAGGGTCAAAAATCCCTGGGAATGCAACCTCCAACAAAATGACAAGCACATCAGACTCCCTTTCATAACGAGCGAAGAGGTAAATGTGTAAAATAACAATGTTTCTGAATGGCGAAGGTTTTGTAACAGTTTGTTACAAATCAGTAAATGCATTTTGTCCCCACGGGCTCCCGTAGAAGAAAACATAGCTTCGCTCAGACTTAGACCTGCTCCCATGTATTTTAGACCCAATTTTTATGGTTATGTGTTATGAAGCCACCAATCTCGTCTCGTCTCGTCTCTCGTCTTCCTCCGCTTATCCGGGTCCGGGTCGCGGGGGCAGCATCCCAACTAGGGAGCTCCAGGCCGTCCTCTCCCCGGCCTTGTCCACCAGCTCCTCCGGCAGGACCCCAAGGCGTTCCCGGACCAGATTGGAGATGTAACTTCTCCAACGTGTCCTGGGTCGACCCGGGGGCCTTCTGCCGGCAGGACATGCCCGAAACACCTCCCCAGGGAGGCGTCCAGGAGGCATCCTGACCAGATGCCCAAACCACCTCAACTGGCTCCTTTCGATCCGGAGGAGCAGCGGTTCTACTCCGAGTCCCTCCCGAATGTCCGAGCTCCTCACCCTATCTCTAAGGCTGAGCCCGGCCACCCTACGGAGGAAACTCATTTCGGCCGCTTGTATCCGCGATCTCGTTCTTTCGGTCATTACCCAAAGCTCATGACCATAGGTGAGGATTGGGACGTAGATCGACCGGTAAATCGAGAGCCTGGCTTTCTGGCTCAGCTCCCTCTTCCCCACGACAGATCGGCTCAGCGTCCGCATCACTGCAGACCCCGAACCAATCCGCCTGTCGATCTCCCGATCCCTCCTACCCTCACTCGTGAACAAGACCCCGAGATACTTAAACTCCTCCACTTGAGGTAGGACCTCTCCCCCGACCCGGAGGTGGCAAGCCACCCTTTTCCGGTCGAGAACCATGGTCTCAGATTTGGAGGTGCTGATCCTCATCCCAGCCGCTTCACATTCGGCCGCGAACCTACCCAGCAAGAGCTGAAGGTCAGAGCTGGATGAAGCTAGGAGGACCACATCATCCGCAAAAAGCAGAGACGAGATTCTCCTGCCACCAAACTCGACACACTCCACACCACGGCTGCGTCTAGAAATTCTGTCCATAAAAGTGATGAACAGAACCGGTGCTGGGAGGCCACCAATCATTAAATTAATTTTCAATATTTTGATGGATACTTTCATAGATTAACGGTAAAAACTACACAGTAGTCTAGCATAAAATAATCCTTTGTGAGTCTATTTATGCAGGAAAAAGGACTCTAGTGCTCCTGTTTCAGGTTGTAGATATCAGTCAGAGAAGAAGGGAGAAAAAATGGCAGGATTTGGAGTCTAACCCATTATTATTTCTTGATATTCTGACATCTCTCCTCTGATTGGCTAACAGCAGCATGACTCTGACTCCGTTTGCTCTGTAACATCAATGTTTTATGTCAAATAACACAAGTCTGAAGGAGTGCTGCAATGTGGAGATGCTAATGCTAAAGTTTAGTTTCTAATAGCTGAGAGGTGCTCCGCTGTCTCCTGGAAGCTAAATCAACAACAGCCTCCCATTGCGAGTCAAGATGGATGAGTCCATGAATGCTAATTGTCAATAATGTAGATCTGACTAGCTTTTCTGAAGTCAACCCCATTATACCAGAACTAATTTATTAAAAAGTATTATTCTGTCAAATTTTCAGATATTAAGATGGGAGTAGAAAAAGAATTAGCTAACAGTTTTTTTGTTTTTATAAATATAGTATATAGGTAGCCTGGCCTGCCAGACTCCTGTGTTTAATCCTGCACAGAGAAAGAGTTTGGGAACTCTCCTATTCAAATATCCCCACCCCGTGAGAATTCTAACCGAGCCAATCAGCTCTGAGTAGCGTACGTCACACACCACAACACCGAGTTTGTCGAACATGATGACTGAAGCGGTCTTCGCTGCGGCTCTTTCCTCCGTTCTAAATGACTTGGACACAACAAGTAGAAGCGTTAAAAGCCTTTCTTCTAAATAAAGATGTTTGCACTGTCGCCAGACTCCATTTTTACTACAGCTAAAAAAAACTACAGCGTCACGGACGTCACACACATCGACGCTCAGTTTCTCATCAACAACAAAGACAGCGGCAGAGTTTGCTGCGGCTCTTTCCTCTGTTCTAAATGACTCAAATGTCTTTAAAACCTCAAAAAGAAGCGCTAAAAGCATTTCTTCTAAAAAAAAAAAAGATATTTTCGCCGTTGCCAGATGCCTTTTTTACTACAACTAGAAAATTACAGCGTTGTGCGGTACAGTCAGGATTTCTGCCTTTTTTTCTGATTGGTTATTCTCGAACTGGCTAGTCCCACCTCTCATGGTGCTCTTTGCCGAGAGTTACCAGACTCATTCTCTGTGCAGAATTAAACAGAGGACGAGTCTGGCAGGCCAGGCTAGTATATAGGGGAAACAGAGGACAAAATTGCACTAGTGTTTTCCGGACAAAAACTATTACGTGTCGGTACCAGATCTGCTCGTGTTCCAGATCGGCTCAGGATCCTGTGCCTGCTGAAGACGTCACACAACGGCATATCCACTCGGCTTTTACACATACGTTTTAGAAAGAGTTTTATCAGTTTTGTTATACATTCTTGTGTCTTACGGCCTAAACTTTTTCTTTATAACTGTAATTTGTTAAAAAGCACCATATTGTCTTCATTTTTTAAAGAATGTTAAACAACATAAAGCTAACATCAGACTGACAAAAAGCATAACAGGTCTTATATGTGACTTTTTTTTATTTTATTAATTTACATAATTAGCAGCCATGTCCATTTGTATAAATTTGGGAATCCTCTGTATATTTTGTTAGTTCTTACGTAAATAAATCCAACAAACTGTCACGTTCAGATTAGGAGGAGTAGGACCCAATATGCAGAGCACCAGATGACATGAGGCAGGAGTAATTGAAAAAAGGGTAGAATCCTTTATTTGGAAGTCTTTATCCAAAAAACGACAGACAGGAAGTCAAGCCAGGAATCCAGAAAACAGGAACAAGTTCAGGAGTCACAAAAACAGGTAGGAGTCTCAGATTTTACACGGGGGGAACAAAATACACTGACAACAACAATGGACCGACAAGACAGAGTGACAAGACAAGGTTTTTATAAACAGAGAGGAGCAATTAGGGAAACCGGCAGCAGGTGTGTGGAGTGAGGGCTGGAGGGAAAGCAGGTGAATACAATTATCTAAATGGGGAACAGAACCAGAGGAGGGCAGATAAACCTAAAACTATAAAACACAAAACTAAACCTAAAGACTGAGGGCCAAAAATAAACAACTAATAACTAGACAGATAAGGAGGACTAAATAAAGATTGATTAGGAATGGGGAATGATTAGAAAGACACCTGAGGGAAGTCTACAGAGGGCTGGGGATAATAATGGGACACAAGAGGAAAACCTGGAGTGGGAACTGGAGGGGCTGGGGAACAAAGCGACACAGAACATGACACAAACATTTGCAATATTTAACCCAAGACTTGTACAAATAAATGAAATGCAAGCCAGGTTTCATGTGTTATAAATATTCATCAGCCTTATTGCTTTACCTTCTTTTAATATTATCTAAATAAAACAACTTGCACAGAGGAGGGAAATAAAATTAAGTGGACTACCAAAAATTTGTCTTCTACCCACTTTTAAAAAAAATGTTTTTCCTTTTTATAATAAATTCTCAGAAAATGGATGCCTCTGTAAAACTTCTCATATCTAAGTAAAGTTTTAACCCTCCCACTGTCCTAATGGGTGTGACCCAATGAGGAAAGCTGACCATTGAGCAGGGTTGGTGGTTTATCCCTTGGGTCTATGTGGCAGGGGTGAGGAGTGAGCACCACCTCACCCCTGCCACATCGACCTCAAGGGATAAACCATCAGTCCTGCTCAATGGTCAACTTTCCTCGCGGTGTCACCCATAAAGACAGTGGGAGGGTTAAAAGACAAAAAAAAAAACTAAAACACAATTTGCTGAAATACAGTTAGGATATTTCCTGTTTCCACCCACTTCACCCCTAAACAAAAAGTGCTCCGTTTCACATAGATTATGTTACAGTGACTCAGCCGGTTAGTCACCTAACTGTTCAGTAGGAATAGAATGTGAACCAAACATCATTTGTCAGGTAGACCACTCAGACAGGCTTACTCATTCCCCCAAACTGAGCCATACAAGTCAGCTTGTTCTTCTGTCCATCATGTCCTTACCCTCTCCTTTAAACAGGCTAGACAGGCGTTATGAAACACAAATCAACCACACAAGTCAGGAAATCTTTGAGTCACCTCCAGCAAGGTCAGCAGGTCCACAGCTCTCACGTTCTGGGTCGATATCAAACACCCACAGCGTCTTTGTGCAGCCCTTCCACAGTCCGTAGTAAGTTGTGAGACAAGTCTGGAAATTAATGAAAGAACCAGTAAGAATTATTTTACAATCAGTCAACATTTTTATTTTTGCCTCAGATGCTTTTAAAAAAATCTGAACATACCATTAAACTGTACTGAAAGTGCAAGCATCCTGATGGGTCTGTACGTTGCCTACACAATAAGTATAATATCCACTGTTTTACCTGATTGTTATAGAAGTTCTTAGCGGGGGCCAGCTCCACCCAGAACTCAGTACAAACACCAAGGATTGTCAGAACTACACCCACAATGGCTACAAAGAACGCCAGCTTGATCTGGTGGCAAAACACAATATACCAGTTTCATTCGTTAATATTTACTCTAAAACTGGTTTTTAAATTGGTCATAGAGAAGTACTAATTCACCCAAACCTTTAATTATTTAAGGTGATGTATCATGCAAAATCCACTTTTTGGAATTTTTAGCCATGATCTATTGTATGTTTCCTCATCAAAAACACCCCAAAGTTGCTTTTGGCTTCACGCATGCATTCTGCTCTCACAGTTGCATGTCCTCTGCTGGTCTGCCCATCTATTGAAAACAGCTGGATGAGGCCAGTTTCCATCATCATTGGTTGCACCGCTCCTCCCCATCTTTTTCTGGACTGTTACCACTAACACCCACTCTCGCTGAGTTGTGGGGAGCTTAATCTCCACAGTTTAATCTCTTATCTAGTCAGAACTTTTGATAATGCCTAGAATTTCAACATTAATGTTTGGCTACAAGATGCACAGTAATTTGTTCTGTCATCCCCAAAAAACATTTAATAACCAAAAATAGTTGAATTTTATCTTGAGGACCTCTCAAATACAGAGCCTGAATGTGAGTGTGGTTTCACCGACTAAACCACTGCCAGTACTGGTGATGTTTAAACGTTAAAACCACCCAATGGTAAGGCCAGAGCTGTGTGTTCAACCTAAATGCTAACCACTAGCTGAATGGTTAGAAGGTTTGGTGAGCAGGCTTCAGAAATAGACTGGGACAATAATTCTTTCTAGTTGCCCTTTCTCCATCAGAGTGTTGTGCATGTGTTAACGACTTGCTATCAGCTTCTCCGGCATGAGAATGGGGGGGGGGGGGGGGGGGGGGGGTTTGCACTCGGTGTGCATTCTGCTGCAGTCGCTACTTTGTTTTTGTGGTGGTCCTTGATGCTTTGATGGGAATCTAGGGTTACATTAGGAAATGGCTGGAATTCACACAGGTGGACGTGGAATGTCATTCAATCTAAGTGTCTTCTTTCTGGGTTGATAAAATATTTCAAACAAATAGCTTTTTTAATGATATTGCACTAATGCCAATGGTAATTTTTGAATCATATACGAGCCTTTCATTGCACTGAAAGGTTTAAAGTAACATAATACAGGTCCTTTAACAACCTTTTTTCAATGAAAATGACTTTTTGAATGTGAATCAAGTTACATAAAATCTGCTAATGGGTTTGTAACATTGATAATTTATTAGCATAAATTAATTGGTAAATTCATTCAAAAATAAAAAAAAAATTACAGTAAAAAATAAGAATATTATGTTGTAATCATCTAAATTGTATATAATCTTTAGATATGGAACTAGCAAGGAAATAGCACAAGCATTGCTATTTTCTCTGCTTATGCTGTAAATAGCAATGGAAAGGGGCATCTTGTCCATTACTCCTACACACAATACACAGAATCAGAACGGTGTGTGCAGCAGTTACCTCAATGAGCTGTGGCACTAGTGATTTTTTTCTAGATATTGACAATCCTGCTAACATTTTCAAAACCCAATGCAGTGCTTTCATGTATAATATAAAAATGTTTTACCTTTCCCTCCTTGGCTTCACTCATACCGTGTCCTGATGAAGTTGTCCTGCGACGCTTGTTCCCACCAAAAGTACTGCGTCCACTCATCAAGCTGGCCAGGCCTCCTCCACCCTGTGGAGGTGCAGGCCCTCCACCTGTTGTTGCTCCCTGGACCACAGTGTGACCCTCCTCATCCGTCAGAAAAAAGGTAGACCACATTGTACACTAAAAAACCAGCTGCCAAAGGACTTTTTGGTTTCGTCTTGATAATATTTGGTTCTAAAAGTTTCAAAAACAACACAAATTTATTGTCTTTTCTCAATTCAAAAGCTAAAAAATTGGCATGGCATAAATAAAAAAAACAATCACATCTACATGAATCTTCGACGTTAAGAAAAGAAACAACTGAATAAAAGAAATTAAATCTTAAAGTTTCAAATGCGGCAGGATCTGATGAATGCAGCTGTGAGTCTTTTCTTTAGTTTTTGGTAAAAGATTCATAATTGACTGATAAAAATCCTGAAGAAAAATCAATAAAGAAAAAAATCACAAGATGCAAAAGTTGTTTTGAATGATCCCAGACATTAGTGCAGGAGAAGAAGTAGAAAGTGGGAGGTCTCCTAGAGATGCATGTTGGGAAAAGAAAACAAGAAAATAGTGATGTAGCATTTTACCAGCAACCAGACCCACTCACACAGACCACAGACGCAGCTTCTGCTTGAACATAGTATTTATTTACACCTGGCATGCACAGGTACCGCATAGCTGTTACACTGAGACGCAGACAGAAGCTCACCCAACTCCTCCAGTCTGCTCCCCTCTGCACCTGCGGTGCAATCCTTTATAATCAGCCTGTTGCTGATTGCTGATCGCCACCCGTGCACCAGCAGGTTCCCAACAGCCCCAGCTGTGTGCACCACTACAAGTGATAAGAAATAAAAAGATAGAGTAAAAATTCTTTGCCCTGCAAAAGTAGGACACAAACTTGTTAATCATCCTTCTGTGTCAACCTTTGCCTATCCAGGGAATACCCTTGACATTACGTTTGATTTAACCAAGTATACTGACCAAGGAAGGTGGCAGCCTAATCAGGAGACACAAATTAACAAAAAAATAAACATACATTTTAAAAAAGGGTCATTAAAGATGTGGTTCACTTGTTTAATCAATACATTTGCAGTGGTCTCTAGTAGAAAAAATACCTTTAAATCATTCTCCGGGCATAAAAAGCACTGGAGTACCTAGCTGTTTTTGCAAAACATAACCGTCAATTTGCCGTAACGCCATCAGAGAGCCTTAGGTCGTTAATAAGTGGTCAGACCATGGTGGTTATGTGGTGCAATCGTGTCCTTTTTAGAAAATATTAGGCGATGGTGGCAAAAAGGTGGTATGGGGGCGGTCTCTGAGATGCCGCGACTTCCGTTTATCTTGGATATAACTTGCTTTTAATTACAATTGAAGCTGCGATCGTTACATTGTTTGTTTTTACAAGCCACTTTTAAAGGCGTCTGTCCCCATCCGTCGCTGCGCAGTCTCTGATGATCTGAGCTTCTGCTCTAACAGAGAGATGCTCCTGGAGCACTGCGGTGCACTAGGGGCTTTTCTGGACGCAGTCTCCCTGGGGTCCCTGTGCTCTGGGGCAGCTCCTGGATCTCTGGGACTTGGAGCTCCCTCCATCTCCTATGCATCTTTGGGGGGCAGATCTGTGGCTCCTCAGACTCTCTATTGGACGCTCCAAGAGAGAAACCTTACATATACATGCGCAAGTACTGTGGTTGGCACTAAATGCATTGTGATTTATTATCGTGTGATTGTTCATTAAAACAACGTTGATTTTATGTTTCTTCATCAAGTTGATGCAGTGATAGCTTGCTCCTGTTGTACGTTTGTTTGTTTTTTGCCCCCCATTACACAGTCACATATTTTGCAACAGAACACCACTTGTGTGAGAGGTTTGTGGTTCAGTAATATCAGAGAAGGAGAAACAATTCAACCAATTCAACTTTAGGACAAATTACCAGAAACCCCCCATTAAAAACCCACCATATTAGGTCTTGGAAAGCAGAAACATCTCAGGGAAGACACCAGAGGGGAGGGGTGAGTGTTCTGTGACCTTGTTTGCATTCAAAACCTAGCTTGTTTGCTGATTCACCACAACAGCTATAATATTCATAATATGCAAACATCTCGCCTCTAAATGGCTAACAGCAAGGCAACTCTTCAGCTGCCTCTGTTTCCTCTTCTGTCTTGGTAAACAGTGCAGTGTTGATGTGTCATCTCCACAAAAAGCACAATTAAGTGAAAATGGGCTCTGCCATGTTGTGGAAGTTGCTTTTGCTAATGGTTAGCTTCTGCATTACATGTAATTTGATTTGGCAGGTGTTATTAGCTAAACGGTGTTGTGTGACGTTAGCTGGTACCATGTGACATTTAGTGCTCTACCGTCAATGGTCAGCTGACTAAAGCTGAGCCCAGTTCTCGGATGCGACCTGACTGCTCACACTGTACGTCTGGTAGCAGCACGTCGGCCCTAAAAAAAATGCTAAAAATAGCAGTTTTTACAAAACACGTCAGACTTTTTTGTCTTGTCTTGCCTGTTGTCCTTCGGGAGTGCTGCAGGAGGACACACAGGGATTTATGGGGGTTGGATGAGGAAAACAAAATAAAGAAAGTAAATCTGTGTTTTGTGATCAGTTTAATTTGACATGAACACGACAAACACGCTTTCTTGACAATCTTTGTGAGTAAAAAAACGTGTAGAAATAAAAATGAACAGCGTGTGTTATTAGGGAAATAGCGGGCGAGCGGCGTTGATGCAGGTTTGCGCATGCTCCGTGAGCGGTTCTGGTACTTTTTCGGTTGCAGCTGGTCGCAGCGCCGCTTCAACAGTGCGATACCCTCACGAGGGACGAGCAAAATTTCAAACACGCCAGAAGTTTGTGCGAGCTCACGATTGCTGATCGGTAGCTGGTCACGTGGTGTTAATCGCCTCTCGTAACCGCCTGTACACTACACGACGCTCAGCGCAAAACTCGCCCCGATCTCGTGGATTCTCGCACGAGTGGAAAATCGGCTCAAAAAAGTGAAAAAGTCACACAGTGTACGCCCGACTTAACCAATACTTAGCGGTATGGCTTAGGGCCACTCGCTTCCTTTAAAATTTTGCCCTTTCCTTTTCCTCAATTTCCTGGGGCAATGGAGGTGGAATGACTAAGGAGAGCTTCTCTGTTCAAACTGATAGTTCATTTCTTAGTGACTCGAACCCATCGACATTTATATATGTATATGGACAATGGGTTTCCATAGCTTCCAATAACATGTTTTTGAGGGAAAATGGGAGGTGGCCACCACCGCCATTTTGACCATTTAACAGGTTCTGTCAAGCTCAGGCAATAGAGCTCCGGACGTCACGTGACTCTCAGAGAGTAGACGCCATGTTGGCAGGCAACAAATGTAAACAAAATGAACGGGATCGGCTTGGATTTTACTTCGTCTGAGTTTACTTCACACTTTAAAACCGAAGAAATCGTTTTATATAGTCATAAATTAAATAGACTAAACATCTCCGACCCTTACCGTGCCCCTGGGATACCTTTTAAAAATGCCAGAAGCTGTCGGAGCGGACTTCTTACCGGACCGGAATGATCCACCATTTCTGAAAATTTTAAAAGGTTCCAAGAAAGAAGGCTGTTATGGTGTCAGGAGATTTACAGTCGCCTTTTCTCAAACCAGACCAAAATTATGGTAAAACATGAGTAAACATCTTTTAAAGCAAATTTTATGTGGCAGCAAGCAAATAATAAACAGTCAATGCTAATATCTATTCTGAGAGAGTATGTGGAACAAAAACACTCATCATGTGTGAGTCTTTTCCAATTATCTATTCTGAGATTCCCTGGGTAAGAGTTGCTACACCAGTATGCTGCTGCTGAATCCTAAACTCTTTGTGCCTTCACTGGAACAGCTGTGATGCCATGTTAAACTTGGATGTAGTGACAGCAGACGTGAAATGCAATCTGGCTGTTGTTAGCATAAATGAAACACTTTCCCAGCGGAGAGCATAGTGCTTTACTTTCAGAAGCGCTTCTGTCTTCATGTAAAACAGGAAGCTATGGAGCGCAAACGTTTTCCGAAATGAGACAACTCAGAACAACGGCACCCAACTCAGTATCACAGTGCTTTTTTTAAACCACTAAGGTGTTTGAAGTTTTGTGAGTACCATTTGGTAACATTGTCAAAAGTCCTTCATTACATACAGTTTTGTTTTTCACTTCTGCTTGGAATTGCTTCAAACCAATTAGGCACAAAATCTGTGTTGTTCAAGAAAAAGTTGTACGGTTAGTTTGGAAAACAAGGTTGGTCTTAAGCACAATTTCAACATATAGTTTTTCACCAGCATCACGTCAGGAAAGTTTTAAAATCCTATCCTCTCTCTAGTAAGCACCACCATTTTGGAAGGTATGAAAAAGTTTATTAATTGCACAAGCAATTAGAGAAAAAGCCCCTTCTTTAACCCTGATGGAAAGTTGCAGTCTGACATGTGACGAGTTATGCATTTATTACTCACTTTTCTTAACTAATTTTCTATTTTGAATACAAATACACATGTTGCTGCTTGCACCTAGAGACTTCACAAAAGCTATTTATAGCACTTGCATTTGCCTGAAACATCATCCACAGCGGTTTCCACTAACATTCTCAAATCAGTTTTGTTTCAAGTGGATTCCATTTGGAGCTAAGAATATAATGTGCTTCAAACATTGACCTTTAATTTGTTTTCCTTCTCAATACAACCAGAGAAATCTTGAGTACTACCAAACTACTTTGCAGCAATAACGTTATACAAGCAGAGGAATAAAAACCAAAAGATACCTTCAACAAGGTCCCTAGTGGCACCAACCTTAACGAGTGTACATTAATTACTTTTGCTGAAAGAGGTGTTACAGAACGCTTGTTCTAGAATTGCCACAAAGTTGAAGTGTTATGTAGAACCATTAGTTATTTTAAGGAATATACTAATTGAAACAGGTTTCTGTTTAGGCTGTTCCAAATGTTATACTGAAATTACATCCCACGCATTTATGCAGACATGTTTGTAAAATTGCTCATCAAGTAGTTGGACAATCAATATCTTTCTCATTTAGCCAGGTGTGTGTTTTAGACTCAGAAACTATGCTGCAACCTTCTCTGAAAAATGTCCACTCATATCTTTAACATATTTGCAATGGTCTCTAGTAAGAATGAATGCCTTACTCTGGGGAAGAAGTTCCAGTGTGCCTGTTTAAGATGTTTATCTCCACATACAGCACAAGTCTGGAGGAGTTCTGCTGTGTTGTTGAGTTGCTAATGCTAAGCTTCTACTAGCCAAGATGTTCTCTGCTGTTTCCTGGACACTAAACCAACAACGTGAGTCAAGATGGGTGAGTCCATGAATTTTAAGTGACAGTGTGACATAGATTTGTCAGGCTTTTGAAATCCTAGAACCTTCAGAAGCAAATGCAGGAGATAGGTGTAGAAGACGATTTTCACATTCAGCATGCATGAATTATTATTATTTAGTTTTCATTTATTTCAAACATTTCTGACAAATAAAACAACATTTAAAACAATAAATGTAAGTTTGTTTGAAAAGGAGGTAGGTAGAAGTTTTGACTTATAAAGGCCCTACCCCTTCCAACACTGCATCGTTTTCAAAAAAAAAAAAACGATTATAATGTAACAAAATAATGTTTTACACACCTTCTTTTCACCATCATACAGCCTGATTGGTCTGTCATAACAAGAAAATGAAAACTCAAACAAACAAAACCAAAAAAGGAAAAAACAAGTTGACACTCATAACGGGGGTGACGGTAGACACGCTCAGTTTGTTGCTGTCGTTGTGTCCTTGGGCTAGACACTTGAAACCCCTTGTCACTGGTGATGGTCAGAGGGACCAGCGGCGCCAGTGCTCGGCAGCCTCGCATTTGTCAGCGCGCCCCAGGACAGCTGTAGCTACATCGTAGCTCATCCCCACCAGGGTGTGAATGGGTGAATGACTGATTGTGTTGTAAAGCACCTTGGGGGGTTCCAAGACTCTAGAAAGGTCCTATATCAAATACAGGCCATTTAAATGATAAATGACCTGCACTTGTATAGCGCCTCTAAGAGTTACCCCCAAATTCCACTACCTCCGCTCCGCTCCGGCACGAACTCCACGGCAAAATCGGTCCCGTTGTAGTCAATCAGAGCAATTCCACTACTGCGGCTGTGCTCCAGCAGTGCGGCGCAGTGCGCTGCCCTCTGTTCCGGCATCCGGCAAAAATAGAATCGATCCTATTTTCGCCGGACGCCGGAGCACCTCCGCAGTCAATGGACAGAAATCACAAACGCCCAACAGGAAAGAGAGCAAGCACAAATTCCGTTATTTCACAATAAATCGATAAACAAAAAGCGTTTTTTGTTTCATATGCACAGGTTTAACAACTTTTAACAACTATCAATGGCGGCTGAACTTTAAATGCACAAAAGTAAGCCATAAATACAGTTTCCACTATCAAAGTAGTCACACTTTGTTGATCCAAACACTGCTGATCTCTCAACACAACTGATGGGCAGATTAAACAGTTCATTTCGATGCTTCTCCCGCACAACGGGTGTTTGGATCTAACTTCCGCGTTTATTGCTCGGACTGTATCGCAAGATCTCGAAAATCCCGTGCATGCTTGTTTGCCCACCTCAGGTCTCCGCACCGGAGCGGAGCCGTTGTAGAGTGGGTACCAGTAAAAATTGAGTTCGGAAGCGAGTGGCAGAGGAAGGCGGGGGCGGAGCGGAGGTAGTGGAATTTGGGGGTAAGGACTCCAAAGCGCTTTACACTACAGTGTATCATTCATCCATTCACACACTGATGCTGATGAGCTACGATGTAGCCACAGCTGCCCTGGGGTGCACTGACAGTGGTGAGGCTGCCGAGCACAGGCGCCACCTTCCCCTCCGACCACCCAAAGTTGGTTAAGTGTCTTGCCCAAGGACACAACAGCAGAATTCTCTGTCCGGAGCCGGGATCGAACCTGCAACCTTCCAATTACTGGACAACTCTCTCAACATTTACCATAACAAAGCAAAATCACTCGTCCCTACATTCCTCCTAACCTTCCACAGGTACAATTTGCTCATCTTCATACTTATAATGAATAAATATACTTTCTTTGAATTTTCCTTTGACCTGGCTGATGTTTCTACTTTGTTTTTTGTCTGTTAAATTGTTCCATAATTTTACACCTGCTCTTTAATGTTGTTCTGACTGGATGTATTTTTACATTTAAATTCCCTCTTGAATTGTACCCTCCTTCCCTTTCTTCTTGACCTGTTTTAAACCGAACCAAATCGGGAAATGTCATTAATCCTGAATTTATAAAGAGTTGATGAGTATGGTCTCCATATTCTGTTTCATTTGTAAATCTAATTGCCTTTTATGTTAATTGGTTGTAAATTTGTCTTGTATGTATTTCCCCAGATTTCTGCACAGTACGTCAGGTATGGTAATAGTAAGTACAAGTACAATATGGAGTACAAGGAGCTTTACTGTTAAGAACATCTTTAGTTTTACCTAAAATGGAAAGACTCTGAGCCAGCTTCCCCCAAATGTATGTGATGTGTGGTTTCAAGCAGATTCAGGGATCTAAGATCATCTCAAGGAATTTGATTTCATTGACCCTTTTAATATTAACCATACCAGTTGTCATATTTGCAACAATATCGTTATTCAGTTTTCCAAATAACATTAATTATTTTATGCAAATGTATTTTTCAAAAATAATGAGTCAAAAGTTGTTTCTCAGTGAAGGGCCTCTTGAAATGACAGTGAAAGGAGACCAGATTTATTATTTTAGTACAAATGCAGACATTTCAAAATTAAATGAGAATATTTCTCAGATTGTATGACTTTTGTCAAATCGTGACTGGCTGATATGATCGCAATAAGATCTCCTACAAAACCTAAAATTTACTACATTTAAAAAGAGTCTTTGTAAACGTTAACTAAATATATACGCGAATGATAAATGAAGTATGTCACCTATAAACGCCCTACACAGAGATGCCAACAACAGAGCTTAACCAAGAAACTTTAACACTAAATAAAATGATTTCCTTTCAAATTTTCCCATTTCATTTAACACAAAACTCTATAAACGCTTTTTAAAAGCAGCATTTGAAAGACGTTCAACAGCTTTACTCAACACCAGTTCTGACCTCCTCACATCACCTGGAACAGCCTCTCAACTGCCAAATTAACTTCATGCTGAAGTTAAACACGTTCGTTTTATTCGCTCACACTTTAACACTTGCTGCACAGCATTCCCCAAATATCACAACAATGACATTAACAAGTTGCTGACCTGCTTTTATTGTGTGGCTCCACTCAGTGACGGAGGAAGAGGTGATTCGAGGAGAGGGTATGAGAAAGTCAAATGGTTTGTGTGTGTGTGTGTGTGTGTGTGTGTGTGTGTGTGTGTGTGTGTGTGTGTGTGTGTGTGTGTGTGTGTGTGTGTGTGTGTGTGTGTGTGTGTGTGTGTGTGTGTGTGTGTGTGTGCGCGTGCATTTATCTTTAAAAGTGCGTAAGGTATGCAGTGACACTGTAACTGCTGTTAAAAAATCTGTTTATTTTATTATGAACAGTTGTGCACACTATTGGCTTTTTTTACTGTAATTTTAAATATATTTGTTTGAAAGTGTATCATATAACATGCATGCAGCTCCATCTCAGTAACTGTGTACATATGTGCATGCGCCTCTCGTAGCTATTTTTGCTGCCCACCTGTTAATGGCATAAAAGCCAACCGGGGGGAAGCGGCTGCAGCAGGGGGGGCTTGTGTCAGCTCAACCCTGGCTGAGAGCCTGATGTCTGCAGCTACCACTTCGCTCCGGTCGACTGAGGGGGCAATAGAGGAGTCAACACCTCGATGACAAGCAGCATAGCCGGTCGGACGTTAGTGGACTCACACGGTCAGATGTCAGAGGTGGGAGATCAGTTCCACCAGACAGTGAAAACTCAAAACTCCTCTGGCTGCTGGAACAGGCGGAGGAGCATTTCATCTTGTTTAAATAAGAAAATATGTCTTTGAGTCTCATTATTTAGGTCATGAAATAACTGGAGGGACATTTGAGGCTGCACAAGTCTTAAAATCTTTTTGATTTTTAAAGAGCATTAAGAACACTGCAACTTCATCACTTCAAGATATTACAGTTGTTAATATGATCGAATGGGGTACATAAAACAGTATATTCATTATCCTAAAGCAGGGATGTCCAAAGTGTGGTCTAGTGTCCATTTGTGGCCCTCAGGTGGTCTATTACTTTTTCAGAATGAAACGTTGGAGGTGTGAGAGCGACTGAAGAGCGTGTGTCTCATTTTGAATTTGTGCCACTTATCAGTCCTTCTGTTGGCTAATTTCCGCTGGAACAAGCTGGTTTCAAGAAACCCCGACAGCGCAGCGCAGGAGTCTGTATGCCCCGGTTCACTGCAGTGCAGAGAATTCATTTATGTTTCAATTCAAACTAGACACGCCATTGCACAGTTAATGCAATAAATAATTTGAAGACACATAAATGTAATATCTTAAAAATAATATATTTTAATTCCAGATTAATTTTTATTCTCAGTTCAGAGAGTTTGCCGTCTTGCTGTCATTCAATTCAATTCAAAAATACTTTATTAATCCCAGAGGGAAATTGATTGCTGTAGTAGCTCAGAATAATAATAATAATAAAGTCATCAAAGAGTTGTTGTATATCACAATGGCTGTTGGCAGGAAGGATCTCCAGTAGCGGTCAGTGTTGCAGCCAAACTGAAGAAGCCTCTGACTGAAGACACTCTTCCGTTGTCGGACAGTCTTGTGAAGAGAATGCTCAGGGTTGTCCATCATTTTCTTGATTCTCTGGAGAATCCTTCTTTGCATTATCTCCTCCAGCGGGTCAGAAACAGCCGAAACTCTGGCTGAGTCCTTGAAGGGGCTTGGAGTTCCTCCATCTTGTTGGCCAGTGATCTCACATTGCCCATTATGATCGATGGAAGAGATGGTATTTCCTCTTTCTCTGTCTCCGTTTTGCTCCCGCTCTGCACCCACGCTTCTTGTGTTTTAGCTCATTTGGGATTTGTGGCTTCAGTTGAGGTATTATTTCAGCCTTTCCAATGTTAATCAGCTGCTCCCGATTGTAAACCAGCTTGTTGCCATGGTTACGCATCATAACAAATGCTCAAAAAGTGAAAAAAGCTAAAAAAAAAAATAGCTGTAAAAATCCTCCAAGCTTCACAGCACCAGAAACAGAAAAGTAAAGTGTCCAAAAAAATACAGTTTTTCTTGAGAAACTAGAAGTAAAAATGCCCAAGAAAAGGCAAAACTTACATATAGTCAACAGAGCTACTCCAACATCCACCCAGAGCAGCGCAGTTCCGGAAGTTGTTGTGAAAGTTGTGAAAGAATCATTAAAGGAAGCAAAATGCCACAATTAAGTCATTATTCACTTCACGCATACATTTAATTTTAATATTGAGTTGTTGGTAAATAAAAAAATTAGCTTAAGATATTTTAGAGGCAACTTTTTGCTTCTTATTCAATGTTAGCATTGTTAGCTCAACTTTAGCCTTCTTCACTCGATATTAGAGGAAAACAAAAAGATACCGTGGCTTTTTGGACTTACATGAAGTAACTTTTGAGTTGCACTCGTTTGCTGGCTTCGGTTCTTTAAACAAATCTGCTGTTTTGTGTCGGGCGGTGTCGAATTACAAATGCTGCGGTTGCAGTGTTAGCTCAGCGCTGACTCAGCAACTCCGTGGGCTCAACAATTGTAGAAAGTGACTGGCTTCTTTTACCCTTTTGAACAGAGAAAAACTGAGAATACTCAGCTAGGAGATCTTCTTTCAATGTTACCTTCCTTTCAACATAAATTAAACCTAAAACTGTTTTGTGATTATTTCATTGTCAAATTCGTACATATTGCTCCTTAAACAGTTTAACTCAAATGATATACTTTCTTATTCACTGTGAGCAAAATGGAAAAAAAACATTTGAAACCACCAGTAAAAATGTTCAAATGAAACGCCTTCAGACATTATTGCTTGTCTATTGACCATCAGCAGGGCACAATAAAAATATGTTAAGAAAGAAATACACTAAAAAAAACTATTGGTGCCAACGAATCAAGCTTGGCATCTTTAACTCTTTTTAGTCTATCAGTACAAATATAAATGTTCTACTCCCAGCACACAGGCTGGAAGCTGAAGTAGTTTATATTTATTTTTATTATGCATCGATGCCAATGATTATTTCACTGTAAATCTTTACAGATGTGATCACAAAGGATAACAATACACATGGGTGAAATTAGATTCTCTGTATTTATTCATTCACTTTTTTTGCCCATCTATCTTATCGCAGGGCCATTGAGTATCTAGTCATCCTGCTTCCTGAGAAATAGATAATACTGCAGTCAGATCTGCCTGGCATTGTGATAAGATGGTTTGTGCAAGATCATCGAGCCAAAATCACTCAAAGATAAACGATGTTGAGTGAAAAAGACAAAAAGAAGAAGAAAGAAATCAGAGAGCATAAATAAAAGTGTAAAGGAAGACACATCCTGTCTGGAAAGTTACCTCACCTCTAAGCCAGTACAGGTTAATTAAAATACTGATCGTGCTTATATGAATAGAGGATGTTTATAAAGAGAATTGATGGCATGTGGGCATTGTTTACACAACAAAAAAATGCATTTGTTCAATATTAAGACAAAGGAAATGGTGATTGACTTCCAGGGAAACACTCCTCCTCACTCAGCGGTAAACATCCAGGGAGCAAACATTGAGTGTGTTTACATGCAGCCAGTAACCCTTTTAAAACCCGAATATTCACAATAACCCGGTTCCGCACGGCCATGTAAACACCGCCAAAAACCCGGGTATGTTCATAACCGGGTTTCTACACCTGGGGTAAACCTTTTGTAACCCGAATGTTTGGTCGTGTAAACGCATATCGGGATATCCCCATCAAAGAGTGTGTTCTGCGCGTGCTCTGTTCGCAAGGAATCTTGGTCTTTTGAGTAGCGAGACGTCTTGTATGCGCCAGAACACCGGAAGTAAACAACAAGCTGGGAGCAACATCGCGAGTCGCGGCACAGCACCACACTTTTGGAGTGACGAGGAAACCAAAGCGCAAACAAACGCGGTCTCTATCTCTTCCGAACTGGGAAACATGTTGTTGTTTTCATGGATACTGGAACGAGAAGAACCGGAAATGACGCATATTGCGTCTGGACGTAGTCCATACGTCCTGACGCTACCCCAACGTCCGCATTTAAATCGGGTTATGCAAGTTAGGGGTAACTCTTTCAATTTATGCTTGTAAACGGGTTATTCTGATCAACTCAGAAACCCGAATACCGACCTTAACCGGATCATAACCCGGATATTGGCTGCATGTAATCGTAGTCATTGAGGTGGTGGATACCTTTAATCAATCAATCAATCAAATTTTATTTGTATAGCACCTTCTACAACATTATCCGAAGCCCAAGGTGCTGAACAACATCATTAAAAGAAAAACATTCCCAATACATGGGCATAAAAGCAGGATAAAAACATAAAATCGTAAAATAGAAAGCAAACAGCATTACAGATTGTCATGTTCTGCGGGTGGAGGTGGCAGACCATGTGTGGTGGTGGGCTCCAGAGGCAGATGAGCAGGCAGACGGATGTAAAAAATAATTAAAGCTGCAAGCAGCGTCGTTCGGCCCTCGCAGCGAAGCTGCTCGCCCTCTGTCCGCACCCCCTCCGCTCCATCCCCGACGCTCTCCAAACCCGGCTCCGCGCTTTTCCATCCTGGCCGGCAGCCGAGGGCACCAGGGCATGCCTGGCGGAACAGAAAGTCAGCCACCCCAACACCGGAAACCGTGAAAGGCCTCCTCATCCACACCTCACCCTGACTCAGCATCCCTTCTGAGCCCACCATTACATGTCTCACCCCTAGGAGATACTCTATCTTTACCACACTGGTGATGTGATGTTCAGTCTCGGGCAAATCGGAGGCTGTTTGTGGAAGTTACAGTCAAACGTAAGGTCACAGCGTCACGCCAGAAATCGCCATGGCATCAAAGCCCCTCACTTTCTGAAAAGCTATCAGATCTGAATGGTCATTACAACATCATGAAGACAGTGCATGACCTTAGTGTCATCTTGACTAAATTAGAGGGGACAAATATGGGAAGTTCACCATAAAACAATAGACTTCCTGTAGTCAGGGGGCGGGGCTTAGGTGATGTCAGCTGTCCACATTGTCACTGTCTTCAGATGTGGTCAGTGATCACACAGACAAAGTATGAAATT